GAATTGACGAGAGGGGATCCAAGGATTTTTATAGTTTTTTATTTTTATTTTTAATTTCATGTGCTTTTGCTAAATATAGAAGGGTTTTGAGCTATAATGTAGGACTGCCACTCGATCAAATTTATATGGTTTCCAAAAATGGATTTGCTAATCTCTATTTTCTATTATTCACATTTTCTAAAAAAAACCCATGTAACAAAAAAATTTGGTGCTACCAATCCTCTTTATGATATGTGTTTTTTTTTTCATATTCAAATCATTTTTTTTTATGTTGTTTTCGTATACAATTTCATGGATTATTGCAACGGTTTGTCCAAATGATTATTAGTCTCTAAATAAATATTTTGAAAATATAATTCATTTGTGTGGAAAAACCAATTTTCTTACCTTTTGAATTATATTATTTCATTCAAACGTTAAAGAATTCGTCTCTCGTCATACCACGGGCCCATGGGCTTTACTACAAAGCCCAAATCGGCCCAGTTATATTTTAAAGTCCAACTTCAATTTACGAGTCTGCCACTACCGTCGACCTTAGGGTTTTAAACCCGGACAAGGGGCCCAGTCACTTTTCGCTCTCAAAATCTTTCTACACTCTTCCCTTTTTTCCTTGGTTCGCCATTTCTCTTGTGAAAGTACCAAAGATCCGTAGCCGAATCGGGTCGGGGAAGGCGAAGGCTCGGAAATGGCGTTGGCGTTCGATGAGTTCGGACGGCCGTTCATTATACTGAAGGAGCAGGAGCAGAAGACTCGTCTTCGAGGTATCGATGCTCAGAAGGCCAACATCGCCGCCGGTAGGGCTGTAGCTCGGATCCTCCGTAGCTCTCTCGGTCCAAAGGGCATGGACAAGATGCTTCAGGGGCCCGATGGAGACGTCACCATCAGTTAGTTTTCTTCTTTGGATCTCGTCTTTGTTCGGTTTTCATTTCCGCTGTTCTCTTCGATCTGAGGGTGTGTAGGTGTGGTTTCCGGATTATGGGTTAAGACTTGGCAGTTTGATTGAACAACTGTTCTCGGATTTAGCAACATAGCTGTTGAAAAATTGGATGATTGCGAGTTTACTTTCACCAACCTCGTATGTTCTGTAAGTGAAATGATACCAGTAAATTGGTGGATTTTCGCCAATAAAGCTACTGATTCCTTAAATTCTGCATCTAAGCTTATGGACGTTAATATACCAATCCAGTCTATTTTTCCTTTTTTACCTCTTTCCGGGTTCAATTATTTTGTAATTTAGTGATGAAGTTTCACTGGAATTCCTTGATTTAATCTGTGTATTGGTTTCTATTCATATTCGAATAATGTTATAATTCAGTTTCCTTGAATTTTGGAAGTTCTTCGAATTAGGTTTTCCAGTTTCTACATCTGAATCTCTCACGTGCCCAATAATTTCTGGAATGATTGCGTATAACTTTGTTATAATTGTTTTGTTAAGCGAATGATGGGGCAACCATCTTGGAGCAAATGGATGTTGACAACCAGATTGCAAAGCTGATGGTCGAACTCTCCCGGAGTCAGGATTACGAGATTGGTGACGGCACTACTGGTGTTGTTGTCATGGCTGGTGCTCTTCTGGAGCAAGCCGAGCATCTGTTAGAGAGGGGGATCCACCCTATCCGCATAGCCGAGGGATATGAGATGGCTTCAAGAGTTGCTGTTGAAAATTTGGAGCATATAGCTCAGAAGTTCGATTATGATGCTAATAATTTCGAGCCACTGGTTCAAACTTGCATGACTACTTTATCCTCTAAGATGTAATATTCTTTCGATTTTTGGCTTACATAAATGCTGTATTATTGGTTTATACAAAGATTGTATTGACGTTTTGTTTTTGTCCATTTGCAGTGTAAATCGGTGCAAGCGCAGTCTGGCTGAGATTGCTGTTAAAGCTGTTCTTGCTGTCGCTGATTTAGAGAGGAGGGATGTTAATTTAGACATGATAAAAGTGGACGGGAAAGTTGGGGGCAAGTTGGAAGACACTGAGCTTATATATGGCATTGTTGTCGACAAAGACATGAGCCATCCGCAAATGCCGAAGAAGATCGAAGATGCAAATATTGCGATTTTGACATGCCCATTTGAGCCTCCTAAGCCAAAGACTAAGCATAAGGTGGATATCGACACTGTGGAGAAGTTTGAGACTTTGCGTAAGCAAGAACAGAAGTATTTTGACGACATGGTGCAAAAATGCAAGGTGGGTTTTTAAGATAGTGATACTACTGAGTTGCTTTGGCGATCATATCAAGCTCCACTGTGTCGTTTTACTTTCTTGTCTGACTTCTCGGTGCAATTTTTAAATATTGTGTGTGATCATGGTGACTTGAATTGCAGGATGTTGGTGCCACACTGGTGATTTGTCAATGGGGATTCGATGATGAGGCAAACCATCTATTGATGCACAGGAACTTGCCCGCTGTCAGATGGGTCGGGGGTGTAGAGTTGGAACTTATTGCAATAGCCACTGGTCAGTACATCATTCTAAGCAGCAATTGATATTGATGTTCATGTTTTAATCTTGTGCACATACTTTAGCTTCTGTCTTCAGTACATTTAACTAGCCGATCTTTTACAGGTGGGAGGATTGTTCCTAGATTCCAGGAATTGACACCAGAGAAGCTGGGGAAGGTATGCTTTCTTTTAGTTGAAGCTAATAACTTGATTTGGATCTAGTGTAGAAACATTTGAATATTTTCTGCTCTCGGTGATATGTTTAGGCTGGCTTGGTTCGTGAAAAGTCATTTGGCACAACAAAAGACCGTATGCTGTATATCGAGCACTGTGCTAATTCAAGGGCTGTCACCATATTCATCCGGGGAGGTACACTCATGGGCATGACTGATTGTTCTTCTCAAAGTTTTACCCTTTTATAAGCGCAGACTTTCAGTGTTTTGATTCTGTACCGAAGGCAATGATCGGAAGTTATCATGGGTAATATGCATCGGGAAATAGATTGATTGATTTAACAATTGGTGGCATGCAGGTAACAAAATGATGATAGAAGAAACAAAGCGCAGTATCCATGATGCTCTGTGTGTAGCTAGGAATCTCATTCGGAGCAATTCGATCGTATATGGTGGTGGGGCAGCTGAGATCGCTTGTTCTCTTGCCGTTGATGCGGCTGCAGATAAGTACCCAGGTGTCGAGCAGGTAAGACAAGACGTAAGTCTCTCCTCTCTCAATCACTGAGCTTAATTCCGGGACATGGTTCCTCTCTCTCTCTCTTTGCAGTACGCTATCCGGGCATTCGCAGAAGCTTTGGATTCTGTCCCAATGGCTCTTGCAGAGAACAGTGGCTTGCAGCCCATCGAGACACTCTCTGCAGTTAAATCTCAGCAAATCAAGGTACATTCTTATGTAAACGTTTATATCTGTGATCTTTGTGAGAAAAATGACACCTTGCAAGCATTTAACTGAGAATTTTTTTCGTTTCGGGTAATACAGGAGAACATTCCGTTCTACGGGATTGACTGCAACGACGTGGGGACGAACGATATGCGAGAGCAGAACGTGTTCGAGACGCTGATCGGGAAACAGCAGCAGATATTGCTTGCGACGCAAGTCGTTAAGATGATACTGAAGATCGACGATGTCATCTCCCCTTCTGAGTACTGATCACGTCTGGTTTGGTTTGCTTTTTCTGCTCCACTGCTCAAACTCTTCGGTATGTTCCTTTTTTTTCCTCGAAAAAACCGCCATGTTCTTATCTTGTTATGGCAATGGCATCTAAAGAACAACCTCTTAGGTCTTTGTGTTTTTTTGCTGTTGTTGATGTGTTGATCATTTTGATTTGTCTGATCTGTGCGTTCTTGGCATCAGACCAAACATCATTTTGGAGATTAGTAGTGTGTTTTTTCGGATTGGTCTCTCATGTTACGTGCAAGATGAAGTGTGTGGGTTGGGTAACGTAACGACCAAGCAACCAAAATGATGAGTGTTTTTACTTAGAAATTGTTGTAGATCTGTGTATAATCTCCAATCACATACTAATGGAAATTAGTGTTAGGCACGCGTCGAGCACTCGAGCTTAAACTCGAGCATCTCGGGTTTTCGAGTTCGAAATCCATCCTTGGACGTAGGGTTGACCAATTCGGGTTTCGGTTCGGGTTCGGTTATTTTAGTTCACAAACTAACCATTCGGTTTTTATATAAATTTCTATTCGGTTTGGTTTGGTTCGGTTATTTTTTGGTTCGGTTTCGATAGAAAGTTAATTTTTCCAAAGAAATTATCGGTTTTTTCGGTTATTTTTTTATTCGGTTCGATTTCGTTTTTTTTGTTTTAAAAAATCATAACCGTTCGGTTTTTATATCGGGTTCGGTTTGGGTACGGTTATGTCTTATTCAGTTCGGTTCAGTTATTCGGTTATTCGGTTAATAACCGAAATGATTTCAGGTTCGAAATCCATCCTTTGTACTCATGTCGTTCCAGTATCACAATCTTGGATTCACGTGGATAAATCTGATAATTTTGGTTATTAACCGAATAATCGAACCGATTTGAATTATAATCATAATTGAATTAAATTCGATATAAAGGTAAATGTTTATGATTTTTCTAAGTAAAACAAAATTGAATATGAATTGAATCAAACCGAATAAAATAACAATTGAAATAACCATAAATTTCTTTGAATGTTGTATCAAAACTGAATCCGAACTGCAATAAAATCGAATCAAATTTGATATGAAAACCGAATTGTTTTTCTATAACTTAAAAAAAAGGAATCGAAAACCGAAATGGTTATCCCTACACATGAAATGTTATGAATATAGGAACATGGGTACATGAACCCTATCAAATCTTTGGCTATCTACCCGTCACGAAAGGACGGAGGTTGAGCTCAAAGGGGAGAGCGAGGCCGAGGTGTCTAAAGAGATAGGCGAGAGACCGGAGGAGGACGAGGAAAGAAACGAATAGATAACTCATAGTACGACATCCGAATTCGAAATCGAAGATCGGCTTTTTCACCATAGTCGTATCAGAAACGTCTCCGCGACCGCAATTGCGAACACGCGGATGATATTGATCGCCCCGACGATTAACAAAAATTCCCGTGATCCGAAACTAACCAAATTCTACAAAATACCATAAGATCTTCACAATTTTCATTGCCTTGGATATTTCTATATACAAAAAAAAAAAATTACCGAAATGATAAATTATAAATGCAGATCCTAAAAAGGAAGATCTCCAAATCACTTTAAGAAAGATCGATGTTCACTTTGTCCGGTTCTGCTCTTTCCGTCAGGCTGTCTTCCAGTTCCACTCCGAGCTGTCCCCTGTCTCCTGCCCCGAACGCGTACACTTTCCCCGACTCGGTCACCGCAAACGTATGACCCGTCCAGTACACCGAGTTCGTCAGACTCACCTGGATCACTCGCTGGTCCGCTTGCTTCAACGACGTCACCAGCTTCGGGATCAACGTGTTCCCGTCATCGTCCCCCTGCAAAAAATCCCCGAAAGTTTCCGGCTTTAGACGTGCCGAGTTTTGAGAAACCGGGAGTAATGTCTATTCGGGAAGCAGACCTGCCCGAGATTGGCCGATTCGCCGCACCCGAAGGAGTAGACATCACCGTCTTCTGACACGACAAACGTTGTGTAATCCCCTGTGGCTACATGAATGGCTTTGATGTTCTGTAATGCCTCGACCACCTTCGGTGCGGACTCTGATTCCTCGTTGCCGTGACCCAAGCAGCCGTACCGGCCCCAACCCCAAGTGCAGACCCGACCGTCCCTCCCGACGACGGCTGCGTGCCATGCACCCGCTGAGATCACGACCGGTTCCAGGTTCAGATGACGGAACTGCTCGATCAGACGGGGATGCTTCTCGTTGGTTGTAGAGCCATGCCCGAGCTTGCCACCCAAACCGCATCCAACAGAGTAAACCGACCTATAAGCATTTGCCCGACACAAGATCAGGAAGATAGAGGGAAAAGAACGAGCCGAAATACGTTACGGGGGACTCACATTCCGTCGGGTTGACAAGCAAGGGCAAGGAGGTAGCAATATCCAGCAGCGATTTGCACAACAGGAACGTTCTCTAAAACCCCGAGCAAAGGGTGAGGAGATGAACAGTTCAGATCGGTTTGATGGCCAAGCCTTCCGTCGTTTCCCCATGAGAATGTGTAGACCCGTCCTTCTCTCGAAAGCACAGCCGTGAAGAAATTTCCTATCGTGACTTGTACCACATAGATGTTCTTCAACGATTTCACCAGCTGAGGCGTCGTGACAAAGCTCGTTTCTTGAAGTTCCAATCCAGCCTCGCTGAAACAATCCTTCCCGAAGGCGTAAACTTGGCCCGAATCACTGATCAACATCGTTCGATCAGCGCCAGTCGCCGCCTGGATTATCCGAATGCCTTGAAGTGATCTGCAATAGAAAATGTACTTCCCTTTAAGGTTTTCCCCTCTCTCATCTGTACAAGAACAGCTTCATCGAAAGATTACGCAACCTGATGGGTCGAGGCTGGAAAATGTCATCAGTGGTTCCGTGTCCGAGTTGTCCCGAACCGTTAGCCCCGAAAGAGTAAACAACCCCTTTCGACGTGACGACGATACTGTGACCCGGACCTGCAATGGCTTGCGATTTCTCCCGTCTGCAACCCGCTTCACCAGCCAGCAAGAACCTCAGGACCAGTTTCCATGATCCTCCACATCTCGTCTTGATTTCTCGACGTCCTTCCTCGCTCATGGATCTAAACACAACTCTCTTCTGGCACATGTCGAGAGCAGCGATTTCAGAGATAGAAAGTTCAGCGTCGGGCGCAAAGTTTGCTGGCCGCCTAAAGAACGAGCACGTTGCCTGAGAACGGTAACAGACAAATACGGATATCAAATCACCGGATCCAAACATCAGGAAAGAACTAAACCCCAAGGCCGAGAGCGAGCTACTCACTTCGAGCTTAGCAAGATCTCGAGGGTCGAGTTTACACGCCGTGAGCACGTGAAGGACAACGGAAGGGCAGGAAGCCAAGGGGAATTCCCCCGGGGTGGAATCGCCGAAGCAGTGGCGTTTGGGCCGATGAAATGCGGGGCTCGGTAAAGGAACGACGCCCGGGATAGGGTTTTCTTGGATGCTGTGGAATCGTAACGCAGAAGGGGAACCGCTCGCATCCATGGGCACTGCTCCAAGTCTGCAGTGCCCCCAAAATGTCTAATTTGCAGGAAACGCCAAAACCATTACTAAACAAACTGCATTTCTCTTCTGGGCATTAGATTCATCCAGAAAACAGTGGCATTATGCTTCTTTTAGCTCATGATTAGTGAAATTAACCAAATTGATCAGAAGGGATGTATAATACATATATATACATACATACATACATACACCTGGGTAAAGGAGCTACCTTTGAAACGGGTTAAGAACCGAACACCACCACCGACCTCCAAAGACTTGAAACTACAAACACAGCGATGGAAATCGACCAGACAACTGATGTAATGTTAGAAAATCGAACCTGAACAAAACTTTGATAAGATATGTAACACAGATGATCAGATTATGGAAAACCCAGTAAATATAAATGGAAAAAAATCATCACTGGATCTCAAAAACGAGTGAGAGATAGAGCTGATCAAACGCTATCAGATTCCTCAATCTGTTAGGTTAAGATGTCTTTTTTGCTACAAACCCAGATTCAGAGAAAAACCCTCCATCAATGGAGAATCATAGGTACAATCCAAGCGATCAGTCAACACAACACAGAAATTTTCCCTCTTCCTGACAATCGTGATCGTGATCGTGATCGTGATCGTGAAGAACAAGTCAAGAGCAAACAAGGAATCACGAACAAGCAAAGACCCAGAATTCACCCAAACCCATCAACGTTTCAGGAGAAATTACCCGAGTTTCGGACTCAGGAACACCAAAAGTTCGAGCAAATCAGAAAAAAAGAGGCAGATGAAGATTTCGTTTTCCGAGGAATTTACAGAGAAGGAAAGGAACGGACTTCAATCTCTCTCTCTTTTTTTGTTCTTCCCCGTGAAAATTTATATAATTTTTTTTTCTTCTTTGGGTTTCTAATGAAAACAACGAGACGCTGTTGTGTCCTCTGTCCTATATATCTATACGTTTCCACAAAGCGATTAGGTGTCTCCGTCCACAGGCCCCCAAAAAAAAAAAACTTTTGAATTAAAAAAAAAAGAAAGTTTCATACATATATACCATAATATATATAAGTGAATATCAGACAAGATTATGGGCAGGAGGAATATTCAAGAGTTTGAATTAACAAAAGATTCAAATGCAAGTATTGAACTTTTTAAGCATTTGTATGGAAAGTCTCGTCCTTTTTTTTTTTATGTACACAAATCCTCAACTCAACCTTTAAAACTGCCATTTTCGTGTAATGTTTCCGACCACTAATGACCGATTCTTTGAGTTCAGTTGCAGAGAGAACAAACAATGGCTGCTCTGTGGATTGAATCCAAAGGTTCTTCCTTTTTGCATCATCCACTTTGAAAATAAAAAAAAAAACAAACCAGAAACCACCGAAAAATTCTCAGATCCATCTAGTTGGACCGAAAATTCGATAAATTTCTACGTTATAAAGAATTGAAAAAGAAAAAAAAATCATAATTTCTACCACCAGTTGGTGAATTCTTCGTATCTAAATCGTTATTCTTGGAGGAAATCATGAATTAGGATTCAGCTAAAACGATCAATAATTTCTATATTAGTCTCCACTTTAAACACTTTCACTATAACCCATTTGGATTTGGTACGGATTCTCAATTGTTTTTCCGAGCCAATACGGGTAGGATAGGACCATGAGTTTTGAATTTCGAAATATGAAAAAAAATACGGATTTAGAGGCGTTCATAAGTTATAAAATAATGTTTATGTATTAGGAAAAAAAAATCCTCCTCAATCCAAAATTCTAATCTTCATTTGGATAATGTTTCTTCATTTGGAGATGTAAGTTATAAAAATAATATTTATGTATTACAAAAAAATATATTCATATAAACTTTTTCGATTTTTAAGAGGTATATAGTTAATTGGTTCGAATTATTAAAAAAAACATGTTATTTTCTGGACCAGAACGTATAAGTTGTAATAAACAGTTATTTTTTATAAATACCCCCCCCCGTTTAAATTTATATATCGTTTAAGATTTTTTTTTTGTTTTAAAACAAATGAGGTTTTCTTATTTCCAATATACTTTTTAATGTGTTTTCTAAATTTACCCATTATTAATAACAGTCAATTATTATATATATATATATATATAATATATTCTATCATTAATAAAAGTAATTAATAAAGGTATTTTAGATAAAAAAATTCTTAATATGTGAGCTTAATGGTAAAACTTCTTATAAAGAAGATTTTAATAGTTAAATATAAATAATTAATAAATAGTTAATATACTCTGTAAATTGAAATATATACGTAATCGAGAAAGAAGATTTTAATGGGGAAGAGAATAGTGAGCATACGAACCTGAATTAATAGGACGTGAAACTCCGATAATCAATAATTAATTATGAATGACAAATTGCACGTTAATTATTCCACACGCACATAAATGTGCTGCCGACTCGTAGAATGGACGGCTGAGATTGAACGATCGCTTTTTCAAAGCACTTTTAAGTTTTAATTAATCGCCCCATCGACTTTAATTATGCTTTAATTAACCTTCACTTAACCAATCATTCGTACGCAGACTATGCCCGCCACTTTGCGCGGTGCATGGGAACAATGTGCCACGTGGGGACTTATCATTGGCTGTCATATTCCTCCCGTGCCGTTAACTTTCCCCTCCCTCCATTTTCCATGCTCTCGTAACAAACCGCTCAGAGAGAGAGAGAGAGAGTTTCTGTTTGTTTCTCGGGAAAAACACGCCAGAAAAAGTGAAAGAGAAAATGAAGCAGACGAAGACGAAGCTACCGATTCTGAAATACTTCCTAATCTCTGTCTTCCTCTCTCTCCCTCTCGTCCTCTTCTTCTGTCTACAGCTCCGGAAACCTTCCTCTGTAGTACTCCCCGTCGGGAAATCCTTGCCGGAGAATCTGATCGCCGGAGAACCAGATCTCAGGATCCGACCGGGGTACAAATCGTACGAGTCATACATCCAACGTCAGCTCAACAAGACGCTGAACCCGAGGCTCCGTAAGATATGGACGACGCGCGACTGGGATCGTAAGATCCAAGTCTTCTCGAGATTCTTCGCAGATCTGAAACGCCAAGGCCTCTTATCGAACAGCTCGAGATGTCTCTGCGTCGGAGCTCGGGTCGGGCAAGAGGTGGAGGCGCTGAAACGGGTCGGAGTATCGAGCTCGGTGGGGATGGATCTGGTGCCGTATCCTCCATTGGTGGTGAAAGGGGATTTCCATCACCAGCCGTTCGATGACGAGACATTCGATTTCGAATTCTCGAACGTGTTCGACCACGCGTTGTACCCGGAGAAGTTCGCGGGGGAGATCGAACGGACGCTGAGACCCGGAGGGGTTTGCGTGTTACACGTGGCGGTTTCTAGACGGTCGGATAAGTACTCAGCGAACGATCTGTACAACGTGGAGGCTCTCGTGAGGCTTTTCCGTCGATCGGAGGTCGTTCACGTCCGGAAGGTTGACGGTTTCGGCTTGGATACTGAGGTCGCCTTCAGGAAGAAAACTGGTTCGTGATTTTTTCGTCTGTTTTTTTTTTCTTTTTCACTGTAATTTTTTCCTTTCTTAAAGTAGGATATAATTTTCTAAATTGTCAAAATGGTTATGGAATTAAATTTTGTTTATAATAATACATTGAAATAGTTACATTACAGATCACGAGTGTGTGTGTATATATATATTTATATAGGGTTTTGCTTGTGTCATACAATATTGAAACAAAAGCTAATTGTTGGAAGAATCATGGAGTATGCAACTATATCTTTATAATATACATTAAAAGACATGCATATATACACACACACATCACATATATATATATATATATATATATATATATATATATATATATATATATATATAT